GCTACCGCACTAGATTCCTCCTCCACCACCCTTCTGATTCTATGCGCCTCTCCGGCCTCCTCGTCCTCTTGCAATCCTTCGGGTCTCAGTGCTTTTTCTTCCGTAATTCACCTTGTTTTCCTTTTCTCTACAGTTTCTCAATTTTTATTTTTATTTTTCGTTCAACAACGCAATTTATTTGGGGGAGAATTTCCATCAAACTGTTTGTTTCAGCTTTAATTCGGCTTCTGGTTAGTGTTTTCTAAAACAGCAATTGTAATCTAGTTGAAACTCTGAAAAATTACTTAGAATGTTTGTTTACAACTAGTAGTGTTCGTTAACAGCTTAATATTAATTAGATCTGCTGGGTTCGGTGGAACCCTGATCGGCTAGATTCCGCCAAACCCAGCTCTACTGGTTCGACAAAACCTAATTTTATTGGGTTCCATCAAACCTAGCTGCTACGTTTGATGAAACCCAGATCAATTGGGTTTGACAAAACCCAACTTTGCTAGGTTCAAAGAAACCCAGCTGCTGGGTTTAGAATTAGGTTATGTTGATTTTCATTCTTCTTTAGAACTGGGTTTGAGTTGGGTTTGTCAAGTTCACCATGTTTTCCCATTCTTCTTTCGATTCTTATTCCCAGTTCTTGATAAATTTGGGAGTTGATTTACAATTGGATCATGATTGGTGCACACCCGGATCCCACACCCAGGTGTGCACCCCCACATAAAAAAAAAAAGTTTATGGCATTTTTTTTTTGTTTATATGGGGGGTGCACACTCGGGTATGGGATCCGGGTGTGCACTCATCATTTTCCTTTACAATTTGATTGCATTTATGTTGAAATTTGATTAGGGTTTGATTGATATTGTTTATTGAGGAGTTAATTTGATGGAGTGGAGATGAGAGAACATTCAGAGAAGAGGATATGAGTTAAGATCGATTTTGCAGATGGATTGGAGATAAGAGAGTGTTAGGGTTCATAAACATTTTACCCTTTATTGGTTCTTTGCAGGTAATGTGGGACCTATTGGAGGGGTTATGACATGTTTAATTCGTGGAAATATGATATGGCATCATATTTTGTCCATATCAATACCTTTTTAAGTTGTCCTCTTTATGTCATAAAAAAAAAATGCCACATGGACAAAGTTAATGGCTCAAATTAATGGAAGGATCAAAATTGTGCAACTCTTAGAGTTGTGTGATAAAAAAAATGTAAAAAATAATTTAGGGAGCAAAAAAGTGCAACTTTGTAAAGTTGAGAGACCAAAATTAGCATTTAACTTAGATTTAATCCTAGATAAATAAATAAAAATGAGAGAGAGAAGGGAGAGAGGAGAAGTTACTAGTTATTTTCCCTTTTGTTGGTGTTACTTCTTTTAATTTCTATAGTTTTTATCTTTTTCTCTTATAATTTACAACAAGTCTATCATTTTGGAATTTAATTGTTAATACAATTTTTTTTTCCGTAAGCATTAGTACACTTTTTCTTGACATAATTACAAAAAAAAAAATTTACAAAAATATACATAAAAACACAATTATTACTACAAGTTAAAATACTATATATATTTAGCTCTTTTTTTATTTTTAATTGATAACTCAAAATTCTGTTTAGTATGATTTTGATTTTCATAAAGT